TAGAACTGACGATAATTCAAACACTTGAATGTTGGTATAATCCTTCTGTACATTACAAAATAATGAAAGTTTATGGCTATTGACATAATTGCAATAATAAGTCATACAAAGTATAAGTTTTTATTAAGCCTTTAATGACCGAGCGCGAGGTCTATACGGAGAAATAACGGACCGAAGGGCGAGGTTTGTACAAAAAGACAGAGGTCAGATATTTCTCAGTAAAAAACCGAGAAAGTGAGGTTGTTAAAAGGATTATTATATGGCATTATTTAACCTGAAACGAAGCTTTTGCAAAATTAAATATTATTTTCATTACAAATTAATTTACATTAATGCAACTAAAATATGAATGGTTCGTTAAACTTCTATTTTGTATATTTCTCTATCCGTTCGTTTACCCAATGAATATTCAAATACCCGAGTTTATTCTTTGCTAAGTGATTCAAATTTTACAACTAAGTTAGTGTTATTGTCAATTTCAGTTAACTTTTCAAATGGCGGTTGCCAAGTTACCTTCTAATGTTGCCAACTACATTTCCAAATATGGAATATTCGATATGAACTTGTCAACTTGAGTTGACAAGTTGTGTACTTGAGGATCGTGACTAAAACACCACACGAGTACATACGAGTACATACGAGTAACATACGAGTACATACGAGTGACATACGAGTACATACGAGTAATATACAAGTACATACGAGTGACATACGACTATTTTCTGGTCAACAAATGAGAAACAACAATTTCTTCAATACATTGATATTTGCGTTTATTTTCCTTGTATTTGTGGACTTTGGGGCAACCATTTGATGGATTTAAATGCTGAAAAGGTATTTTACTTTCATACTACATTCATTTGTATGTTTTAGTTGAATTTGTTATAGATATTTTGTCGATGCGATTTGCCAGTATTTGAGCGCTTTTGACACACTTTCACCTAGGAAATACATAATTATGAAAGCGATTAAATAAACAACGTATAAATAATGCTTTCAAAACGTGCTATATGAAATAAATGTACATCATATATATTTGAATTAAATGAGAGTTGCACTGTGTTACGTATATATATCATATTATGCGTACAATTTCAGCTTACTTTTAATGTTTTTAAAGTTCTAGCTGATATAATTCAGTCTTTAACTGAAAAATCAGTATCTTAAAGACCAAAATGAATGTATAATCGCTTTCATAAATATGTATTTCCTAGGTGAAAGTGTGTCAAAAGCGCTCAAATACTGGCAAATCGCATCGACAAAATATCTATAACAAATTCAACTAAAACATACAAATGAATGTAGTATGAAAGTAAAATACCTTTTCAGCATTTAAATCCATCAAATGGTTGCCCCAAAGTCCACACAAATACAAGGAAAAATAAACGCAAATATCAATGTATAGAAGAAATTGTGTTGTTTCTCATTTGTTCACCAGAAAATAGTCGTATGTCACTCGTATGTACTCGTATGTACTTGTATGTACTCGTATGTCACTGTATGTACTCGTATGTTACTCGTATGTACTTGTATGTCACTCGTATGTACTCGTATGTTACTCGTATGTACTCGTATGTACTCGTATGTACTCGTGTGGTGTTTTAGTCACGATCTGTACTTGAGTACTGAAGTTGTGTACTTGAGCACTGAAGTTGTGTACTTGAGTACAGAAGTTGTGTACTTGAGTACTGAAGTTGTGAACTAAAGTTGAGAAGTACTAGCAAACGCGAAAGGTCTTTGTACCCTGTAGACATTTGGCAATGAATCCGTTCAGTAAGCAAAGAAAAGCTTTACCAATAGAAGTAAGAAATGAAATACTTGAAATGTGGTTAAATAACGAGTGTTTGATAAACATTTCGAAACAACTAAACCTACCGTATAAGACTATATCAAATATAATAGATCTATGGGTAGACACTGGTTCTATTGCACCTCGCCAGAGCGAACGTGATGTTCGAACCACGCGTACAGATGACGTTATTGCATACACTGAATATCTAAAAATTAATAAACCATCTATTTACGCAAAAGAGATTCAGCAACACCTAGAAAATAACAAAGTTTGCCTTCCAGCAAACATACCTAGTAGGTTATCCATTAGTAGAATTTTGAATAAAGATCTTGGTTACTCTTACAAGATAATAAGTCAAATTCCTCGAGAGACAGAACGGCCGGGCATTATGGAGAAGTTAGAACCTTACCTAGCAAATATTTCATTGATTGATTGCAACCGTATGCATTTCTTTTATAAGTCGTCTGTAGTTGTTACGATTGGCAACAGACGTCGAGAGCACAGTATGCAGGGTACTCCTGTATTTGAAATCCAACGATACGCCAACGATACGCTTCTAGTACCACATTTACTGTAAATTTATTACATAATGTAAACGGCGTATCACATTATAACACTCTTAGAAGGCCGTCAAACGGATTAGAATTGCTAAAGCTTTTCCTTGTTTACTGAACGGATTCATTGCCAAGTGTCTACAGGGTACAAAGACCTTTCGCGTTTGCTAGTACTTCGCAACTTTAGTTCACAACTTCAGTACTTAAGTACACAACTTCAGTACTCAAGTACACAACTTGTCAACTCAAGTTTACAATTTCATATGGAATATTCCATACTTGGAAATATAACTGGCAACATTAGAAAGTTACTTAGCAACCGCCATTTGAAAAGTTAACTGAAATCCACAGTAACCTGAGGACAGTTTGACGATCGTAGGGCCATACTATTTATTAGTATTGATAATGTTTATTGTTGTTTATGTGTCTTTGTTTTAGTAAATTGAAGAAAGTTAATTAATTTTAGGAAGTTTTATGTCTCTATACAGTTATATGTTTTTTAACTTTAAGATAGTCAATTTGGCCTTTCTTGTGTTAATGTGAAAATAAAATTTGTTTTTCTTTATTTGCAGTACTTTGGTATGCGGATGGTGTGTATGGTTATTCATGTACGGCAATATAACAATGTATTAGTAAAGAATAGTTTTATTAGTAAAAAGTTATTTTTCCCCCTTAATAAGGTAAGGTTCAATAAAACATTCACATTCCCAACATTTTTTTTGCAACATTAAATATTATTTTCATTACAAATTAATTTACATTAATGCAACTGGAATACATATATTTTGTGCTTAGTTAACCTTTTATTTCTTAAATGTTGAAATAATATTTTGTTGGAGGTCATGCAATTTACTGTTGATGAATCTTAATATATAAAGCATAAATGACAAAAATATTCAGAAAAATAAAGATATTGGAAATTCTTTCTTTAGCAAAGTGCATAAGCTTATACAATTCATGCACAATCACGAATTTCCTTTTTTTAATTTAATCACATGAACAATAATCTCCATAATTGTAATTGATGTTACATGTTATTTATTGCAACTTTGTTTCTTTTCCTGTAAACAATGAAATACATAGTGCATGCCCAGGGTACTGCATGTACGTCGACTTGACCTGTCTTATGTAATTATAAAAATACTTTTTATTTTTTTCTAGGTTTAGTATACCTTCTTTTGAGTTTTCATTGGTTAGTATGATCGTGCACAGCTATATACTACATATGAAAGATTATATATAATACATAAATGATGGGTAGTTTTACAAGTAAGAAGTTAATTTTTTTCCTTAACAAAGTAAGGTTCAATAAATATTTAGGTAAACAACATTCTTTTTGCAAAATTAAATATTATTTTCATTACAAATTATTTTACAATAATGCAACTGGAATACAATATATTTCGTGCTTAGATATTGTCGATTTCAGTTAACTTTTCAAATGGCGGTTGCCAAGTTACTTTCTAATGTTGCCAGTTACATTTCCAAATACGAAATATTCGATATGAACTTGTGAACTTAAGTTCACAAGTTGTGTACTTGAGTACTGAAGTTGTGAACTAAAGTTGCGAAGTACTAGCAAACGCGAAAGGTCTTTGTACCCTGTAGACATTTAGCAATGACTCCGTTCAGTAAGCAAGGAAAAGCTTTACCAATAGAAGTGAGAAATGAAATACTTGAAATGTGGTTAAATAACGAGCGTTTGACAAACATTTCGAAACAACTAAACCTACCGTATAAGACTATATCAAATACAATAGATCTCTGGGTAGACACTGGTTCTATTGCACCTCGCCAGAGCGAACGTGATGTTCGAACCACGCGTACAGATGACGTTATTGCATACACTGAATATCTAAAAATTAATAAACCATCTATTTACGCAAAAGAGACTTAACAACACCTAGAAAATAACAAAGTTTGCCTTCCAGCAAACATACCTAGTAGGTCATCCATTAGTAGAATTTTGAATAAAGATCTTGGTTACTCTTACAAGATAATAAGTGAAATTCCTCGAGAGACAGAACGGCCGGCCATTATGGAGAAGTTAGAAGCTTACCTAGCAAATATTTCATTCATTGATTGCAACCGTATGCATTTGTTTGATGAGTCGTCTGTAGTTGTTACGATTGGCAACAGACGTCGAAAGCACAGTATGCAGGGTACTCCTGCATTTGAAATCCAACGATACGCTTCTACTGCCACATTTACTGTAAATTTATTACATAATGTAAACGGCGTATCACATTATAACACTCTTAGAGGGCTGTCAAACGGATTAGAAATTCTAAAGCTTTTCCTTGTTTACTGAACGGATTCATTGCCAAATGTCTACAGGGTACAAAGATCTTTCGCGTTTGCTAGTACTTCCAAACTTTAGTTCACAACTTCAGTACTTAAGTACACAACTTCAGTACTCAAGTACACAACTTGTTAACTCAAGTTTACAATTTCATATCGAATATTCCATATTTGGAAATATAACTGCAACATTAGAAAGTTACTTGGCAACCGCCATTTGAAAAGTTAACTGAAATCCACAGTAACCTGAGGACAGTTTGATGATCGTAGGGCCATACTATTTATTAGTATTGATAATGTTTATTGTTGTTTATGTGTCTTTGTTTTTAGTAAATTGAAGAAAGTTAATTAATTTTATGAAGTTTTTATGTGTCTATACAGTTATAAGTTTTTTGACTTTAAGATAGTCAATTTGGCCTTTCTTGTGTTAATGTGAAAATAAAATTTGTTTTTCTTTATTTGCAGTACTTTGGTATGCGGATGGTGTGTATGGTTATTCATGTACGGCAATATAACAATGTATTAGTAAAGAATAGTTTTATTAGTAAAAAGTTATTTTTCTCCCTTAATAATGTAAGGTTTAATAAAACATTCACATTACCAACATTTTTTTGCAAAATTAAATATTTTTTCATTACAAATTAATTTACATTAATGCACTGGAATACAATATATTTCGTGCTTAGTTAACCTTTTATTTCGTAAATGTTGAATTAATATTTTGTTGGAGGTCATGCAATTTACTGTTGATGAATCTTCATATATAAAGCATAAATGACAAAAATATTCAGAAAAATAAAGATATTAGAAATTCTTTCTTTAGCAAAGTGCATAAGCTCATGCATTTCATGTATAATCACGAATTTTCTTTTTTTAATTTAATTGCATGAGCAATAATCTCCATAATTGTAATTGTTATATGTTATTTTATGCAACTTTGTTTCTTTTCCTGTAAACAATGAAATACATAGTGCATGCCCAGGGTATTGCATGCACGTCGACTTGACCTGTCTTATGTAATTATAAAAATACTTTTTATTTTTTCTAGTTCTAAGAAGCCTTTATGATGTATGTTGCATTGGTTAGTATGATCGTGCACAGCTATATACTACTTATGAAAGATTGTATATAATACATAAATGATGGGTAGTTTTACAAGTAAGAAGTTAATTTTTTTCCTTAACAAAGTAAGGTTCAATGAATATTTAGGTAAACAACATTCTTTTTGCAAAGTTAAGTATTTTCATTACAAATTAATTTACATTAATGCAACTGGAATACAATATATTTCGTGCTTAGATATTGTCGATTTCAGTTAACTTTTCAAATGGCGGTTGCCAAGTTACTTTCTAATGTTGCCAGTTACATTTCCAAATACGAAATATTCGATATGAACTTGTGAACTTAAGTTCACAAGTTGTGTACTTGAGTACTGAAGTTGTGAACTAAAGTTGCGAAGTACTAGCAAACGCGAAAGGTCTTTGTACCCTGTAGACATTTGGCAATGAATCCGTTCAGTAAGCAAGGAAAAGCTTTACCAGTAGAAGTAAGAAATGAAATACTTGAAATGTGGTTAAATAACGAGTGTTTGACAAACATTTCGAAACCACTAAACCTACCGTATAAGACTATATCAAATACAATAGATCTATGGGTAGACACTGGTTCTATTGCACCTCACCAGAGCGAACGTGATGTTCGAACCACGCGTACAGATGACTTTATTGCATACACTGAATATCTAAAAATTAATAAACCATCTATTTACGCAAAAGAGACTTAGCAACATCTAGAAAATAACAAAGTTTGCCTTCTTGCAAACATACCTAGCAGGTCATCTATTAGTAGAATTTTGAATAAAGATCTTGGTTACACTTACAAGATAATAAGTCAAATTACACGTGAGACAGAACGGCCGGGCGTTATGGAGAAGTTAGAAGCTTAAATAGCAAATATTTCATTGATTGATTGCAACCGTATACATTTCTTTTATGAGTCGTCTGTAGTTGTTACGATTGGCAACAGACGTCGAGGGCACAGTATGCAGGGTACTACTGCATTTGAAATCCAACGATACGCTTCTAGTGCTACATTTACTGTAAATTTATTACATAATGTGAACGGCGTATCACATTATAACACTCTTAGAGGGCCGTCAAACGGATTAGAATTGCTAAAGCTTTTCCTTGCTCACTGAACGGATTCATTGCCAAGTGTCTACAGGGTACAAAGACCTTTCGCATTTGCTAGTACTTCGCAACTTTAGTACACAACTTCAGTACTCAAGTACACAACTTGTCAACTCAAGTTGACAAGTTCATATCGAATATTCCATATTTGGAAATGTAATTGGCAACATTGGAAAGTACGGCAATATAACAATGTATTAGTGAAGAATAGTTTTATTAGTAAAAAGTTATTTTCCCCCCTTAATATGGTAAGGTTCAATAAAACATTCACATTACCAACATTCTTTTTGCAAAATTAAATATTATTTTTATTACAAATTAATTTACATTAATGCAACTGGAATACAATATATTTTGTGCTTAGTTAACCTTTTATTTCGTAAATTTTGAAATAACATTTTGTTGGAGGTCATGCAATTTACTGTTGATGAATCTTCATATATAAAGCATAAATGACAAAAATATTCAGAAAAATAAAGATATTAGAAATTCTTTCTTTAGCAAAGTGCATAAGCTTATACATTTCATGCATAATAACGAATTTCCTTTTTTTAATTTAATCACATGAACAATAATCTCCATAATTGTAATTGATGTTACATGTTATTTATTGCAACTTTGTTTCTTTTCCTGTAAACAATGAAATACATAGTGCATGCCCAGGGTACTGCATGTACGTCGATTTGACCTGTCTTACGTAATTATAAAATACTTTTATTTTTTCTAGGTTTAGTATACCTTCTTTTGGGAGTTTTCATTGGTTAGTATGATCGTGCACAGCTATATACTACATAAGAAAGATTATATATAATACATAAATGATGGGTAGTTTTACAAGTAAGAAGTTAATTTTTTCGTGTGATAAAATTAATGCCCAACATAAAGTTCTGATTAGAGCCATAGAAATAGACCAGAAAAATTGTAAAATTAAATTTATTGTGACGTTTCGTCTTTACTCAAGACATCTTCAGACAAATAATAAATGGGATGTGAAGACAAGATATTATATTTACAAAAGTGTTAAATTACTACTAAAGGAAGCGGTGTCGAATGATTGAATGAAAGAAATGCTAAAGGAAGCGGTGTCAAATGGATACATGATAAGGAAGTTAGGAAGTGAAATAAAGAGAAATTAAAAGAGGTTAAGTGGAATGGAGTTTCCTTGCACATTAAGTGAAGGCTTGTGTTTATTGATTAGAAGGCTTTCATGAATGGAGAGTTCATAAGTATCGTTGGAAGAGGAGATTATTTTAAAGTCGTCTGTTGGGTGTGTGTCCAGTGTTAATGTGAGAAAGAATGCTTGATGATGCAGGGTGGAAACTTGGTTGCCTGTAAGGGGATATTCCCGTCTGAAAATCTGGTGTGTAGATGACGTGGTTTGACCCACATACGAGGCGTTGCAGCTTCGACACTTGAATAAATATACTACACCAGATCTCAGAGGCGTGGGAATTTTGTCCTTAAAGGGGAAGAAAGAAGAGATACGTTGAGAAGGGCGGAAAACAAATTTAATGGATATATGTGAAGGCTGCAGCACAAAGGCTATTGATTTGTGTGCGAATTTGAAGGAGTGTATGCCGGTGAAAGGAAGACAGAATTAGATGGGCATTTTTGAGCAGTCAAGACAGGTGGTTTAGGGCAAAGGTGTTGTTAAGGAAGCGACGTGTGATTTGGTCAATTATACGTGAAGGAAAACCGTTTTGGTGAGTGACTTTCTGGTAAATTGAGTTGTGTATGAAAATTTCGTAAGTAGAGCAAAGATTGAAGATGCGGTGAAGTAAGCAGGAGACTAATGAAAGTTTGTAAGTAAGTGGGATGAAGCTGTGGAAGTTAGTGAAAGGCCAGTGAAAGTAGGTTTGCGGTAGACGGAAGTGGTGAATTTTCCATTAGTACGAGAGATATCAATGTCAAGAAATGAGAGCTTTCTGTTGTTCGACTTCAGCTGTGAATGTGATGTTAGGTGTTGTCGGTTCAGATATTCAAGAAAGAGAGGGACGTGATCGGAGGAATGAAATAGTAAAAACAGTCGTCAACGTAGCGTCGGTAAAGTAGTGGTTTGAATGAAGAAGGACATTTATTGAGCCAGGATTTTCGTGAAAGGACATGAATATATCAGCAAAGAGAGGGCCCAATGGACTGCCCATAGCCACACCATCAATTTGCTGGTACATTTCCCGTTAAAGATAAAGTGACAGTTCTTAACAGCTAGAGAGAGTAGTTTTTCAAATTCTGTTGCAGTGAGTCCGTTGAAGTACTGGTGGTTGTTAAAATGCTTTTGGATATTATGTGGATGGTTTCGTCGACAGGTATGTTAGTAAATAGGGATACGACATCAAAACTAGCAAGGACAACATTACTGGAGTTGATATCGCAGTTTAGGATTTCTTCAACAAACGAAAAAGAGTCTTTGATGATGAGGTTGCTTATAGTGAAGGGTTTTAGGAGTGGGATGAAAACTTTGCTAGTTTATCAATAGGTATATTATATGGCCTTCCTAAAATACATAAATGTAACATCCCTCTCAGACCCATTCTATCCTCCATTAATCACTATTCGTATACCCTAACATCACATTCACAGCTGAAGTCGAACAAAACAGAAAGCTCTCATTTCTTGACATTGATATCTCTCGTACTAATGGAAAATTCACCACTTCCGTCTACCGCAAACCTACTTTCACTGGCCTTTTCACTAACTTCCACAGCTTCATCCCACTTACTTACAAACTTTCATTAGTCTCCTGCTTACTTCACCGCATCTTCAATCTTTGCTCTACTTACGAAAATTTTCATACACAACTCGAATTTACCAGAAAGTCACTCACCAAAAACGGTTTTCCTTCACGTATAATTGAGCAAATCACACGTCGCTTCCTTAACAACACCTTTGCCCCTAAACCACCTGTCTTGACTGCTCAAAAAATGCCCATCTATTTCTGTCTTCCTTTCACCGGCATACACTCCCTTCAAATTCGCACACAAATCAATAGCCTTTGTGCTGCAGCCTTCCCACATATATCCATTAAATTTGTTTTCCGCCCTTCTCAACGTATCTCTTTCTTCCCTTTAAGGACAAAATTCCCACGCCTCTGAGATCTGGTGTAGTATATTTATTCAAGTGTCGAAGCTGCAACGCCTCGTATGTGGGTCAAACCACACGTCATCTACACACCAGATTTTCGGAGCACTTGGGAATATCCCCCCTTACAGGCAACCAAGTTTCCCACCCTGCATCATCAAGCATTCTTTCTCACATTAACACAACTGGACACACACCCAACTTAGACGACTTTAAAATAATCTCCTCTTCCAACGATACTTATGAACTCTCCATTCATGAAAGCCTTCTAATCAATAAACACAAGCCTTCACTTAATGTGCAAGGAAACTCCATTCCACTTAACCTCTTTTAATTTCTCTTTATTTCACTTCCTAACTTCCTTATCATGTATCCATTGGACACCGCTTCCTTTAGCATTTCTTTCATTCAATCATTCGACACCGCTTCCTTTAGTAGTAATTTAACACTTTTTGTAAATATAATATCTTGTCTTCACATCCCATTTATTATTTGTCTGAAGATGTCTTGAGTAAAGACGAAACGTCACAATAAATTTAATTTTACAATTTTTTTGGTCTATTTCTATGGCTCTAATCAGAACTTTATGTTGGGCATTAATTTTTATAACACGACTTCGATTTCCGCTCGGCAAGTCTCTCGCTACAATGTTAATTTTTTTCCTTAACAAAGTAAGGTTCAATAAATATTTAGGTAAACAACATTCTTTTTGCAAAATTAAATATTATTTTCATTACAAATTATTTTACAATAATGCAACTGGAATACAATATATTTCGTGCTTAGATATTGTCGATTTCAGTTAACTTTTCAAATGGCGGTTGCCAAGTTACTTTCTAATGTTGCCAGTTACATTTCCAAATACGAAATATTCGATATGACCTTGTGAACTTAAGTTCACAAGTTGTGTACTTGAGTACTGAAGTTGTGAACTAAAGTTGCGAAGTACTAGCAAACGCGAAAGGTCTTTGTACCCTGTAGACATTTGGCAATGAATCCGTTCAGTAAGCAAGGAAAAGCTTTACCAATAGAAGTAAGAAATGAAATACTTGAAATGTGGTTAAATAACGAGCGTTTGACAAACATTTCGAAGCAACTAAACCTACCGTATAAGACTATATCAAATATAATAGATCTCTGGGTAGACACTGGTTCTATTGCACCTCGCCGGAGCGAACGTGATGTTCGAACCACGCGTACAGATGACGTTATTGCATACACTGAATATCTAAAAATTAATAAACCATCTATTTACGCAAAAGAGATTCAGCAACACCTAGAAAATATCAAAGTTTGCCTTCCAGCAAACATACCTAGCCGGTCATCCATTAGTAGAATTTTGAATAAAGATCTTGGTTACTCTTACAAGATAGTAAGTCAAATTCCTCGAGAGACAGAACAGCCGGACGTTATGGAGAAGTTAGAAATTTACGTAGCAAATATTTCATTGATTGCAACCGCATGCAGTTCTTTGATGAGTCGCCTGTAGTTGTTACGAGTGGCAACAGACGTCGAGGGCACAGTATGCAGGGTACTCCTGCATTTGAAATCCAACGATACGCTTCTAGTGCTACATTTACTGTAATTTATTACATAATGTGAACGGCGTATCACATTATAACACTCTTAGAGGGCCGTCAAACGGATTAGAATTGCTAAAGCTTTTCCTTGCTTACAGAACGGATTCATTGCCAAGTGTCTACAGGGTACAAAGACCTTTCGCATTTGCTAGTACTTCGCAACTTTAGTTCACAACTTCAGTAGTTAAGTACACAACTTCAGTACTCAAGTACACAATTTGTCAACTCAAGTTGACAAGTTCATATCGAATATTCCATAATTGGAAATGTAATTGGCAACATTAGAAAGTACGGCAATATAACAATGTATTAGTAAAGAATAGTTTTATTAGTAAAAAGTTATTTTTCCCTTAATAAGGTAAGGTTCAATAAAACATTCACATTACCAACATTGTTTTGCAAAATTAAATATTATTTTATTACAAATTAATTTACATTAATGCAACTGGAATACAATATATTTCGTGCTTAGTTAACCTTTTATTTCTTAAATGTTGAAATAATATTTTGTTGGAGGTCATGCAATTTACTGTTGATGAATCTTCATATATAAAGCATAAATGACAAAAATATTCAGAAAAATAAAGATATTAGAAATTCTTTCTTTAGCAAAGTGTATAAGCTTATACATTTCATGCATAATAACGAATTTCCTTTTTAATTTAATCACATGAACAATAATCTCCATAATTGTAATTGATGTTACATGTTATTTATTGCAACTTTGTTTCTTTTCCTGTAAACAATGAAATACATAGTGCATGCCCAGGGTACTGCATGTACGTCGACTTGACCTGTCTTATGTAATTATAAAAATACTTTTATTTTTTCTAGGTTTAGTATACCTTCTTTTGAAGTTTTCATTGGTTAGTATGATCGTGCACAGCTATATACTACATATGAAAGATTATATATAATACATAAATGATGGGTAGTTTTACAAGTAAGAAGTTAATTTTTTTCCTTAACAAAGTAAGGTTCAATAAATATTTAGGTAAACAACATTCTTTTTGCAAAATTAAATATTATTTTCATTACGAATTATTTTACAATAATGCAACTGGAATACAATATTATGGTGTATGAAATGAATTTTTGTATCTTTCCTAGTTTTCTTTGAAAGGTTTTGTCCAACAATTGTTCATAGAATGAGTAATTATCTACTCAACATAAAATCTTTGATTCTAATTTATATTACTCTGCTAAATATCGTTTAATCGTTTCAAAACTAGGCTCCAATAATTTTCAAGAGCCAACATTAAAAGAATCTGAAACTGATCCATCGATGAAAAAAGATAACGGTATTTATGCAGACTTTTGTTAATTAAGATATCATAGTAGCTATCACCATCCTTAGACGGGAAACCTAGACAAATCACTGAATCCTGGTTAGCTTGGATCATATAAACAGCTCTTAAGTATTTAAATTTTGCAATTTTAACTTTGTGATAACCTTCTGAATTTTTGTTTTATTAAATTGGAAAAATATCAATTAATTTTAGGAAGCTTTTATGTCTATATAGTCTCAGTTTTTAACAATATAGTTAAAACAGTCAACTTGACGTGTCTTATGCAATTGCAAAAATAATTTTTATTTTTCTCTACTTGCAGAAATTAAGCGACTTAGCGAAGGTTAGTATGTTCAAAACAGACACTTACGGTGTTTGCACAGGCTGGCTTTACTCAAATGTAATCTTTATTGCCTTTTGAAATGTTAAGTACAAACAAGAATGCAATGTAACCATTGAGATTCGTTTATATCTTCCTTATTCACATACTTTTGTTAACGGTCAAAATATGAGATGTAATGAAGAGTGAAATAACTCAGCAAGTATTCCTTTTATCTTGCTATGATATATTAACCGTGTAATGTAATGCATTAATTTCCAGCTTCTTACGAAAAGATATCTTTGCCATTTCCCATGAGTGACAACGACTATGACGACATTGACAAAGCTCCTTCTACAGCAGTACTAGGTAAGAAATTGTATTTTGTTAGCAAACATTTGGACAAGCATCTTACCTTCCCTTTAAAAGTCAAACACAAACATAAGAGTCGTTTATATCATGCGTATCATTCATACGTTTGTAAAGGGTCAGATAAGAGAGTTTTAGAAATTTTTCATCATACTGTAATGTTATTTAATTGCATTGCAAGAAATTAATTTGATTTATCTATTAGATGATAACAGTGAAGTCACCATTGGTGTTTCGCCTTCCACATCAAAACCTGGTAAGCAAAAGATTTTTGTTAGCCAACATTTGCCCAAACATTTCCATGTTTTTCAACGCTAAATACAAACAATAATTTATAACCTGATAAATTAATTTTGAAAGGTATCGTTATATGTAGCCAACTAAAAATCTTTTAATTCAAAAATAATGCAAATGTTGTGGATCATAATCATGTTAAAATTTTAAACTTTGTAAACATAGAAAATTGATCAATATGTATAGCAAGTGAAAACTGGCTATGATGCTAAAAGTGAATTGTGAAAACCATCATGATCAACGTGTCAGTTACATGTATACGTTACACGTACATAAATTAACTTAAATAGAATATTGTTGAAAACATCCTTTTAAAACATATTAATTGATTATTGGAAGCAAGTAAAAGCCAATAATTATGTTAACGAATACATAGTTTCATGTAGCGTTTATGTGGTAGCTAGATGCCCTGATGTTGGATCTAAGTTATTCGTTTCCTTTAACTTTTTTTGTGACAAATAACTGTTTCAAGAGATATTTATGATGTGTTATGAAAAAGTAAATTATTAGTTTTACGGAAAAACTTGCAATAAAACCCACGTTGTTCCACCCAAAAGATTAGAAACCACAAAGTAAGGTAGTTCAACTCACTGGTTCAACTCCCTCTTTGCAAACACGCGGTATTAGCATAACCATGCATGTAATATTTGCAAGACCGAATAACATACAATAAATGGTTACGTAAATGCAAATTCTAAATAAATTATGGCTCGCTGAAAGGTTTAAGAAGGAGTGTGCTACGTCCTGGAACCAGCTTTATTGTGTCTTTATTGGATCAAATATCCCAAAGTTTTAGTCAGACCGACATTTTTCGTCTTTTATCCGTTTGTAGACCGACTTTTTATTCATATTTTACAAAAGCTGGGTAGTGTAACATGTGATATACACTTTTGTTTTCTTTATCATGTGTTTAGATGCAGATGATAATTTGGATGAACACTTTTGGATGAACCCAAGCTTTTTAGAAGGTAACCTTAAAAACATTAGGTTCTTTAATTCTCCGAACTCTTTTCACCTCGACAGGTGCTTTCATCTTTGATTTTTCAATCTCAATGTTTCCGCATTTAAAGGAAACTGTCCTGCATATTTACATAAGATCGTTACACTAGAATATTTGCATAAGATCGTTAAATATAAGCAAAGCCGATGTGGTCAGCAAAAAACTAAAATGCATGCCAAAAAAGGTTTTTTATGAAAATGCTCTTTGTGACTTAGATATTGGTTTGAGTCGTTTAAAAAATAACAAGCGTTGTTTTAAAATGTCAGCGTTTTGACAGATTGCTATTTTAACTACTTCCGTTATAATGGTGCAAAAAAATAAATTTTAAAAGATTTACTCATTCCTATCATGTTGCCATTTTACGACGGTGAGATACTCAACTGGGAATCGAATGCAAAACATAAATATAAACTTTGTGCTAGGGATTAATGATGGTTGTCTTAATGCAGAAAAGAGTGTGGAATTAGGATACCTTTGTGAATTTTTGTTTATATATCCGTGTTTATAAACCTGCAACATTCTTAATAAATCAAAGCGTTCTCAACTTTCACTGTGTTGCACACGACGATAATAAAATTTTTGTTTTCAAAATTGATTGTACAAACTATATGCTTGTCTACAATAACCTTAAAAATATAATGATAGCTATGTATAAAAATACTTTCATTTGTTTCCACATATTACATCATTACTCATGTGACGACCAATATCTTGAGCCATGGTTATTTTCCTTGTAATGAATACAGAAAAAAACATGTTATTGTTGAAGAGAAAAACCAATCAAAATACTTTTATAATGGAAAATTGTAATTTGTGGGTCTGTAATTTTATATTTTCTTATATTTATAGTCGGTGTGGTATTATGCTGCGACCAAATCTTAAAAGAAGCCCATACATTAACATTGTTCATAGTTCATGATAAAGAGCCCATTAAATTGTTTTGTTGTGTTATAAATGAAACAAAAATGCTCTAGTTTCTTGTCACTATAACTATATAATATTTTAATATTATTTTATTATTTATTTTTCATAATGCAGAAGAGGGAAAACAACGTTTGGAAGGTTGGTATAACGAATTATTTTCAGTTTCGTAAAGGATTATGATTAATTTTTTACAACTCTCAATTGCTTGAGTTGGAAAATGCTGTGTAAATTTTTAATGACTATCAAAGAAGCACTCCACATTAACAAAACTAACCCTGACCTCAATGTTCAAGTTTTTAAATTCAATACAATATTTAGTTTATAATACGCTCGGACGCTCCTCATTATATTATCTTATTTCCTTTTTATTGTTCTAATTTATGTATCATATTACTTTTATATAAACCCTGTATCACCTATTATTTCATTCATAATGAAGATGGCATCATGAGATGTCGAAACATGTCTATTTTCAAAAAAGTTGTCGTGTATATTAAATGTGTAATGACTATTAATTAGGAATGAAAAATTCTTTTCATTGCATGCATAAAACGTCCGTATCTGAACGTAAAGTGCAGCATGTCGTAAGAAACCATCTTAACTATTTCTTATTGTTCCCAGTTAAAACAAAGTCAGTTATTGAAGGATCATTGCTTTGTAAACATTTGTAGAGATCATTGAGTAAATTCAATTTATTTTAAGAGGATTTTGGTCAGGACATTCAGATACTAAATTTCATGTTTTATGTTAATGTGAAAAGGATGTGTGTTTTATCCTTTGCAGAATTGCTCAATCTAATGTAGCAGATCTAGCGTTTGTCAAAATAAATTATAGATGCTCAATTTTAAATTCAAAATATATTCAAACAAAAACTATTGAATTTGAATTTCAAAAAAATTAAACTTTATCAATGGACTTGCCTCTATGTATTTGGAAATGGAAACATATCCAAGCATGAGCTGCATCAATTTATTTTGACGTACCCTAGATCCGCCACTGGCTTTATTGAGTTAGAGGTTGGTATGGTCATGCAATGAACTAATCGTAGAACGTCGATTATTGCGCGTGAATTGTATGATGACCAACTCATTTCTACCGGAGTAAATGTTATTTCCATATCAAAGTAAAAACATCCGTCTTTTCTTATCCAGAGAAAAACACAGCAATGTTATATGTCATGTGATAATGCCAAAACAAATAAAACTGTGAATTGATGAATTTATGGCATGAATTTATCAGTCCTTTAATCTTTCCTGATATGTACTTCTCCTTTAAGATCAAGAATTTTTGCGCCAACCATGGAAATGTTTTGATAAATCAATAATACATCAGGAAAAGTTTAAAGAGATGGAGGAATATGGACGCAAACATCCAGAAAAAGTTACACTGCTCAGTGAATTGCGTGTAATTTTCATGAAGGAGTTTTTGCTTGGCAAGGGAAGTGATGGAACCCGTGTTTACCTTGCCCTGGGAAACAATGGTTATGGAAAAGCAGTAAAGCGAATACACAAAGATAGCGGCAAAGACTTTGCAAATCGAGAAAAAGAAATTTTTAATGAGTTGAATGCAAGGCGTTCAAATTATGTTGTGAATTTTTGCCATTTAGAAGAGAACTTTGACGAAGAGTATTTGTACATGATATTAGATTTGTGTGAAGAATCGTTAGAGAGTTATGTGAAATCTTCTTCTCTGCAAGATCTTCAAAAAGTCGTTCCTACAATTCTTATGCAGATTTTAAAAGGTTTAGCTGATCTTCACAGTGGTCCGTGTCCTATACTTCATAGGGATTTAAGACCAACAAACGTTCTTCGAGATGTACAAGGAAATTTTTTAATTGCTGACTTTGGAATAAGTCATATGTTATCTAATGAAACTTTGACACATCAAAGCATACAGAGAGGAGCTAAAAATTGGATAGCTCCAGAGTCATATAACGCATCAGATGATACAATTAATAAAGTTCGTTACAAAAAAGAGTCTGACATTATGGTAAGTTCTTGAAGTAGAACTAGAGGTCCAACTACAGCTCAATGTTTTATTTGCATTTATTTAAATATTGCTATTTTGTAGTGACAATTATTTAAATAAAAATAAATTAATTTTTGTTAATCGTGTTACTGTTACAATTGTATGTCCCTTATTTAGATTGCTTTTAATACATATATATGGCTCCAATTCTATTTAGAGAACATTTTTTAGATTTTTTTAAGCTTCACATTTATTGTTGAGTTCTGCAAATCGCAAATAAATTTGATCTTTAAGGTTTTAGTATCCACCACTGACTGTTTATGACAATTTTTTATTGAAAATAGAATGCCGGAATGGTGGCTTATTATGTTGCAACAAAGGGAAAACATCCTTTTGGAATTGAACAGCATAGACTGGACAACATTTTGAATGGAAACCCAGCTGGCTTGAACGAAATCAAGGATGCCACGTTTAAAGACCTTTTATCGTGGATGCTACAGTTAAAACCTGAAGACAGGCCATCTGCCAATGAGGCGTTAAAACACCCTTATCTACAATCAGATGAAGAGAAATTTAGCATGCTGTGTGATATGGGGAACCAACTGGAGGTGAAACATTCACAAAGTCAAAATTCTCCCCCTTCAGATGTTCATAAGCAGTTGCATGGCTCCACAGAATGGATGAAGCGTATCGATGATGAAGTCGTCAAAGATTTGATCAACTTTGAAGTAAACGACAATATAAGAACTCTAAAGTACGAGTCTACATGGGCAGGATGCTTAAGATTTATGCGAAACGTTGACCAACATTGGCAAAATAAGCCTCGTCCGCATCTATCACAATATGTGAAGCAAGGCAATTATAAAGAGTATTTCCTGCAACGTTTTCCTGAACTTCCTCTTCTGGTGCACAAAGTCATTAGGTCACTGGAAAACTAAACCTGATCACAAGAGTAATGAAGAACATCGTGCAATTGTTCAGGATTTGTTTACACTATCTACTCATAAGTTTTATTGTCTCGCTTTTAAATTTAATGACTTTTTATTTAAACACTTTCTCACTCGATACTGAAGTCTTATAATTAATTATGTAATATATACTGTGAAAAATTTTAATCTCCGCAAATGGATATGATTACTTAAAATATTTATAATGGGACTGAAAATATTACTAATTCGAATGTACAGTCATGTAGTGGCAATGTATCCCTCGCAATACATGACATTCATGTTGTTAAATGAATTAAAATTGTATGTGGCTGCTACTCAAAAATATTTAGGTTTTGAGCGTTGGAGATTTACCTCATCGCAGAATACAGCGAGGAGTTAAAATTGGTAACTCCAGTCATATGATCTATCCAGCATCCAATCATCAATGTATCTTGCTACAAGAAACAGTCTGATGTTATGATAAGTGTTTGTTGTAGACATTTAAATGTAGTTGAACTCTGCAAATAACAAATAAAGTCAATTTTTGACGTTTCAGTATCCACCACCACTAACCTTGTAACTGTTATGATGTTTTTTATTGATTTTGGAATGCATGAATAGTAGCTTTTTATGTTGAAACAAATGGAAAACATCGTTTTGTACCTGAACGGTTTTTTATTTTTTCGTAAATGTTTTCAGTATGAAAGCTAGTTGATATTGGCAAATAGTCGAAGTCAATTATTTAAGTAAAACTTTACGCAATGAAATTTGTCAAATTTATTCAATGAAATACAGATGATGTTTCATTTCATTCCAAAGATTTGAGAAATTTTTGACAAATCATCCTTTTCCCTTTTGCTTTTGATTATTGAATATATCCAAGCTGTTTGTACACCTGCCACATTTCAACATCATGTCGAATGCTTTATTGATAATTCTCTGCTTTCTTTGTAAACGGAAAACAACCATAGATTTGCCATATTCCATTCTACAATCGGAAGATTTTTTGTTTGCAAGCCTGTTATGGTCATTCTCAGTCTTACTCGTGTTACAGTTCATTACCGTTTGCATCAAATTATCTCAAGAGATATTTAAGATATCGGAAAAATAAACGCATAAACTGCAGTCCTGTGTTTTTCTACTGTAGAAGTCCAGCCGGGCATTTCTACGAAGTTGACCGACATTTCTTGCTACTCGGAGTGGACTTGGATGAAATCAAAGATGCCACACTAAAACCAGAAGACAAGCCATCTGCAGACGAAGAATGTTATGTATAAAGTTGGAAAACAACGATCGATTAAAACAAATGTCTGTGTTAGATAAAATGCAAATTGAATGAAAGCTTGAGCGCTTTCCGGCACCCGTGTCATAATTACCAGATATTCAACATGTTGAATAATTTCGGTCAGGAATGAATGTTTCTTCCAAGTGCGCGCGCATGAAAAGCTATCGCTTCAGCAAATGTAAGCTTTACGCATACTCTGTCTACGGTAATATTTGCTATTCAAGCAAAACGGCTGCTGTTTATGGTATGTTTAATTCGTCAACAGGTGTAGAAGACAAAGAAATGTTGCTTTTGCCATTTTTGCGTTTGGCGAAGGCGTTTGATAGCAGCTAAATCAACTACATGAACAAAGCGTGGGATTCCTGGACGGCCTACACATTGAGCTACAAATATTGTCCGTGAGCTGGACGCTAAAGATGCTGAGCAGTTTCGGAAGTATCGTAGATTGGATTAAACCGCTTTCGATGAATGAATTTGGTCTTCTAACATTATAGTCCGGCAGATGGTGGCAAAAAAACTCACCATATCGCGGGGCAATTCCATTTTGCTTTAAAATTGTCCGAGTACGGATATAGAACACAAATCCAGATGTTGGCCTTGGTAATTTTTCTTGTGAAATCAAGCCAACACGTTTTTTTGCGCCAACTCGATGACTTTTGTGTTATGATGAAAATTGAGTTGGAGAAGAAATAAGCCCGCGATATTTCGACCATCGCATATGTAATTTGGCGGTACTTCAAATAATTTCATTTGTTGTGTAGCATGCATAACATCAAAATTATTCTATCACACAATTGAATTTTTGAATTTTTGCAATTATGCTAGTAGTTCATTGTTGGCAAACTAATAATGATTTCAAATAGAGAATATATTCTTATTCCTCGTCACTGTGAAATGAAGTGTATGTGTCAAGATCATCTTCATCTTGTGATTGGTTTGTGCACGTGGTGCAATTACATAAGTCGGTACATTTCGAGACGTTTGCAATGCATTTACATCGGTTGTTTTGGCATCCTGATTTTTTGCAGCTGCAGGATAAGAACTCCAGTAAGGAATCTGGCGCAGGTTTTTGATTCATCCATTTAGGTTCCAATATTCCATTAACCTTTTGGACTTTACAGTTTTAACCAAACCACCATCGGTTGTCGCTAAAGGACCATGGAATAGGGCCCAAAGAGTAGGCGAGTACTTCTTGTAATGATACATCGCGCTTACCACGTATCACCAGCAATCGAGCAAATATATCTCGGTCAGCTTTCAAAGTAACACTTTTATCTTTAATCTTACAAGACTTCTTCGCCTTCATCGCTTGAAAAGTCTTGAGCTTCATTTTTGGAATAGGATCGAACAAATGGACTTCACTGGACTCGATACATTTTGCAAAAAAGTTATGAAGAGCTTCTTTCCCTCTACTTTCAGCGTTTACCATGTCAGCTTGAACTTCAGGACTACATTGCAATCCAGAGCTGAGATGCACGAGATAGCTATTTTCTTTGTAAGGTGTTCCCCATTCTTTAATAAGGTTGTAGCCGCGAGTGACGCATTCCTCGTCGAATAACACTCTCTTTCTTCCCATGTCTTTCGTCACATTCTTAACATCAGAGATTCCAAGTAACTCTTCCATTCTTGACTGACATTTTGCTGCAACATGAGATGTAAGTGCCCATCTTTGTACGGTTCCTTCAGACATACAGAAGCCGACAATGCCACCAGCACACTTTTGTTCCCTATTGATAGTTTGTTCAATAGCTTGGTCTGATGCTATTTTATCAAATTTGCCATTCTGTCTTCGTACAGAAAAATGGCCTGCTTCAAACTGTTCATAAACTGCTGGATGCGTTTCGGGTGATTTTTGCATATTGACTAAGTAATATGTCAGGAAACGTGCATAATTTGGACGGTCGTAGCCAAATAGCCAAGGGAGCATGTTTTCCGTAGACTGCAGGTGCATTTTCCAATCACCGAGTTTGATAGATCGCGTGAAATCGAGCAATATTTGTACCATTTGCAAAAATGATGACCAAACTGAAGCTGTTGGACCAAGTGATCCTTTTAAAAGATCTCTTTGATACTTGTGTATTTTATCAATAGTCTCTTTATGAACTTCACTGAGTGTAGACAACGATTCATTTGTGTGAGATGACATAAAAGTTTGCATTTCCACGGAGTTAACTAATTCATCGTACCTTCGAGATTTTTCAGGTTGATCATCAAGCCATTCTATAAAACTGTCAAGCATGAGCCTCTTGACCGCGTCGTAAAGATACTTCAGTGCTCTCATTGCAATGATGAAATGTTTACCTTTGAGCATTTGATCAACAGACGATTCGCCAAGTATATTTGATTCGATTATAATATCGCGAAGACCAGCATCTGCAAATCTCTTTCCAATGACAGAGATAAAAATACACATAGCATGGAAACCACCAAGACGCAGGACAATGAACTTTTTAAGATCACTATGTTTAGGATTCATCATCATTTCAACTGCTTTAGAGTAGATCGCCATGTCGAGAACGACATCCGTTTCATTTAAACCAAGTTTTTGTGCTTTAAGTTTCGATTGAGTTAACAGCTCTAAAACAGTATCATGAGAAGTCGGAGATTGGTTGATAGATGGCAGGTATCCAATTTTGTCATAATTGTTGCTGTCATTCTCTCACACCATAAAGTTAAATCCTGTCGAATTAGGTGTTTTCTGTTCGAAATTCTTCTTACTTGCTTGACTTCTAGCAATGACCCATATAGTATCAATCACGTGCGAGCGTTGGACTTCCTCTTGGTATAAATCAAGATTAACTGTAATACTTTCCTCTGTATTCTTTCGCTTTACCTTTACATAAGATGGTATCTCGTTAGGTAGCGCATGAAACTTCTTACGTTTGGTAGTTGTCTTTGAGACTAATGACACAGTTCTAAAAGATGGCTCGGGCGTATTAAAGAAAACGTTAGAGGATTGTATCACAATACCATTAGTGCAGTGTAAGCTAAGTCCTTTGAGACTCTCGGGATTAATGTCGTTGTTATCCCACACAAACGTTACAAATCGAAATGGTTGTATTATAGATGGAGTAAAGGATCTGTGGATCTGATTCTTGGCATGTTCCATCGCTAAATTTGTCTCGATCATCAGGACATCGTCGTATGATACTCCGTGACCAAACTTGTTTATCCAATTTATGACATCCTGAACCGGTTTTCCTTTAATTGTAAAAGGAAAACAGATATGTTTTGATGTTTTCTTGGTCCCGTTATTAGCGTGGTATATCAAATCTTGGCCAATAGAAGAAATCAAACGCGAAACTTTTGCAGACTTTTATGCTTTTTCCTAAGTATTTCCTCCAAAGGCATGTTGTTAAGAATGGAACACTCGTGTCTTTTGAAAGGAGCTCACTCTTCGATGGTGGCCAACTGCTGAATGTGCTGGTACTTTCCAACAATTCCTTACGTATTTCACGCCCAACTTCTTTTGTTTTCTTCTAATGTCATTTCCCATCGACTGTTACCAAGTTTTGCCCTGACTGCTATTTCGATCAACTGCCCCTTTTCAATGCTGTTGTTATATACATAATCGCTACCATACTTCGGAGACCAGAATCCAACTTTTTAGCCGAAAAATTTACGAATATTTTCTTTCAGTCGATGAGGTGCTGGCGAACCAATCTCGTAGTTTTCTCCAAACAAAGGAATTTTGATTTCCGAATGCATTCTCAGTAAATCGCACATCCGAAAAACTTCGCAACCTGTGATCACCCTGTTTTCGATAACAGTGCAAAGCTCGTTAAAGATTTTCTCACTATCGCTTGGAAGTACATTCTTTACATCCCGTTTTCTGCTTATCATTCTGTAACATGTCCTATGGTAGAAGAATGCAAGTATTACCTGCCATTCGCACTCACCAACCATGGCCTGCAAATGAGGGTAATTCAACGAGAAGGAAGCTTCTTGTAAAGTTCGTGCTCCATTTTCTGTTTCACATTTTTCTAAGATCTCATATCCGCCACTTCTTGCTGTTTTGTTTTTACCACATACACAGCATTCATAGTCTGCTAGTATTTTTCCTAAGTAACAACATAAATATCATGAAATAATGTTCCCTTGTACAAATATAACTATGGCATGATAAAAGTAATTTTTCAGTTGTGTATATCATCAATGAAGTTTCTGGAAATTATTACCATTACTTTTTGAAAGTTTTTGCTTCATACCTTTCCGATTTTTCCGTTTCGATGTAGCACGAAGACTCTTCGCTTCATTGATGTTTGATGTAGCCGATTCTAACACGCT